AGTTTATAGCCATGAGTGCATATATTAAAAAGACTGAAAGATCCCAAATCAATGACCTAATGATACATCTCAAACTCCTAGAAAAACAAGGACAAGTAAATCCCAAAACAAATAGAAGGAGAGAAATAATGATTCATAGGTTCAGTCTTTTAATAGTGTCCCATATATGTTCTGTTCACACTTTTTAATTTTTGTTTTTCTTTATTTTTTCTGAAGACTCTAGCTCACCTACCTTGTCTTCAAGCTCTGATATTCTATCTTCTAGTTGATCCAGTCTCCTGCATTTTTTACTTGATTTATTGAGGTTTTTATTGCCAAAATTTCAACTTAAATTTTTTTCAGAATTTCTATGTCTTTATTGAATTCTTTTTCCATATCTTGCATTGCACTCCTTATTTCATTCAGCTGTTTATTCATATTGTCTTTGAATTTAGTTTGGCTTCCTACTTCCCTTGGTAACCAGAGGTTGCATTCCATGGCAGTTATTACTTCTTAGGACTAGGTGGAGCACACTATAAGATTTCTGCTGGTAGCCTAGTGTCTGGAGCCTTCAAGTATCTGGTGATAGGCTAGCGGTACACTGCTGTGCACTATGAGTTTATCCTCTGTTGTTTTTCCCTCCTGGAACTTTGTTCAGGAAGGATTGGCTTCCGCTCCCCTCCATGAGTCCAAGTAATTTGGCTCCATACGAAACCCTCCATGTCTCTTATTCAGTTCTTCCTCAGCAGCTAGGACAGATTTCCCAGTCAGTTCTCAATGGACAATTGTCCAACCTTGCTGTGACTCTCTGAGACAGGATGGTGCAGGGATTTTTTGACCCTCAGCATCAATCCTTCTACTGTTTAGTCTCAGGGTTCCTTCGCAATGTTCCCACCTCTGCAGTGCAACTGAATGCTGGGGAGAAATGAGAATCTTCCCTATGCTTATATGCTCTGAAGTCTCCAGAACCCCTGCCTGACTAGAATGCAAATCTCCTTGGTTGGGTCCAGTGTTAATTGTATTTTCTGAGTCTTTTGTCTCTGTTCCCTCACTTTGCTATGCCACTTCTACCCAGACCACTCTCAGAAGTCTTTTTCTCTTTCTCCATTCCAATACTTTCTCAGTTCTTTTTTATTTTTTAAAATAAGACTCTTATGACAGCTGAAACCCAGAGTGTGTTTTCTGGGGCTTTGCTTTTCCTTCCTTTTACCTCAGTCCCTGCCCTGTACAGCTACATGTGCTTCAGCCAGGCTGAGCTCTCTGCCCACTGCCCGCCAGAGGGTCCCTTTGTTCAGCTTGCCAAAGCCTCCACTATTCTTTTCTTTGACCACCATCCTTTAAAAAATATGGTTCTGTCTTTTTGCAACTAAAACTTCAGTGTGTTCTGCCCCCACCCACCTCAAAAATTACCTGTTCTCTGACTGTTCCTGGTCACTTCCCTGAAGATGCTAGAAATGAGTGAATGCTATTAGTCTGCCATCTTAACCTCCTTCCCCTTCTTTCTTTGTGTACATGTGCATGTGTGTATATGTGTGTGCTTGCACATGCCGGGGGCTTGCTGTTCTCCTTACAGTTTTCTTCAAGTAACTGGAGAGACTGTCAACCTTGGATGTTGTTCCATGTCTTTCTGATCATCAGGTAAAAACACAAGCTTTTTTGTTTTTCATGCCTCTAAAACAGAGTCATGTGTTGATATAAAAAAAATTCATTTCCTTCAATACAGCTTGCATGAGGAGAAGATCAAAATTGTTGCATTTTTTTTTCCTTCCCTCCACTGATATTTATCACGTTGAGTTGCCCACATGCTGTTGCTGTTGGTGTTTTGGGGCCTATCAGGTAAGCGGTCTCTAAGCTCGTAGCTTGGCACATACTTCATAAGAAGGAAACAAGTAAACAATTTTGTTTGGGGAATTCAGAATTCATCCACACAATAAGAAATTCCCACAATAACACTCCTGTTAAAGGTCTATCCAGTCTTGGCTTGAACTCTTCTACCTATTGTGAGGTGACTAGAGTTAGGGAGAAAATCCTCCTGTGAAACTGAAATCAGCTTCCTGGAGCAGCATTCATTGTCACTTATGGAGACACCTCAACTCCAAACTGTAACATTCCTAATACCTGGGCACAATTATCACATGGTCCTACCTGCCACCTAATCCCAGCGCCCTTGACAGGTTTTCTCTTTTCCAAACTAATCAATCCCAATTCCTTCAACTATTTCTCCCATGAAATTGTTTAACATAGTCCTGGAAACAAACTTATGCATCCAATAAATGATAATCTTGTCTCTCTTACTGCTCAGTGCCTGATCTTTTACCATCATTTTCCTTCTGGTGGGCAGTTTTCCAGATCATTAATGATCAAACGGCTTGTTCATTTATTAGTGATAGTAATATTATAAGCTAACATTTATTAAAAACTTACAATGTGCCAAGCAAGCACCTTTCTAAGTGTTTTCAGACATTCTCATTTAACCTTCAAAACAAACTTAAGGCACTATTCTGGCTATCTTTATTTTATAGCTGAAGAAACCATGACTTAAAATAGTTAAGAAAGCTAATTGGGGGTGAGACAATGGCAGAGTAGGGCAGAATACTCTGTATTTCCTCACATGCCTTCATCTACTTGAATCATATTGCATCTTATAATTTTCCCTTGGTTCTCTTCTGAATTGTGATTTCCTCATTTCACTTTCCTCCTGACAGGTTTATTGTCAACTTCTAAGAAATGGCCACACAGGTAAATTTTTGGAGTCCTTTTTATACTATTTGGTTTTGGGCTCATTGCTTATGCAGAACCTAACTTTTGCTTAATACTATAAAAATTGCAAACATTCTGTTATTTCCATTTTGATTATTTGCAGAATTAAAAATGTTTTGACATTTCTCTCTTATTTAAACCTTTCCTTATTTGGATTTCCGTTTTCCCCTTCTTCTTTAATAATTCTTTCTTTGTTTCCTTTTCTTCCAACCACAGTTGCTTCTCACAGGGTTTCAACCTTATGTTTTGTTTTCTCATCTACATTTTCTGTAATGTAAAGAATTCTCCAACATGGAAATCAAAGATATTATATTCATGAGTCAAGAATCAGGTTCAACAGAAAACTAAGAAAAGACTTGGAAATAAAAGCATTTAAATTTAATTTAAAACTCAAACAAATAAGCATTATGGACATACTTGAAGCCCATGCTTGGAAGGCATTCTGTAGAGTGTCCATAAAGAATTCAATGCAAAGCAAAAATACAAAATTGTGAGATGCTAATTCAGCAATGTGGGACTGGGGTTTGAACTCAGGGCTCTGCACTTGCAAAGCAGGCATTGTACTGCTTAAGATATACCTCCAATCCATTTTTCTCATTATTTTGGAGATGGGGAGTCTCACAAGGT